TGGGAGACTGATTCTGTGCTTTTCAACAGCGGGCTAGTTAGTGTTTCCTAACCTCTGTCCAGGTTTCCATACAAATAAGGTAAATAAAGGTGGGGAGAGACAGTTATTTTCCCCAATTCAACTAGAAATCTATTCAGGCTCCTACCACACGTCATATCCCCTAGCCTCTTGCTGATTATGTTCTTAACTCACTATTTCTATTTGAGCCTTCTACATGACTACTATCAAATTTGAGGAGGCTACAAGTCAGACAGATACTAAACACAAATTTTTCGTAGTGAGACCACATCCAGCAATCATCATGCCTCTTCTACGCCCCTCCAGCAACTTATAGTGGTCTCTCATTAAAGAGAAAAAGTTATCTGTGTGGCTCTCCTACTCTATACCTTCAGGATAAGGCTATTATCTTACTTTCTTTGCAAACTTAGAACTTGCCATTATATCTAACATATAGTAGGCCTTCTATGAATGTTTGCTGAGTAAATGAATATTGTTCACACCTTTGGTACAGTTTATGAAATATCTGTCCTCCCAATCACAAACACACACACACCTGTTACTGCTGAGTCGATTCTGACTCATAGTGACCCTATAGGACAGAGTAGAATTGCCCCATAGGGTTTCCAAGGAGGGGCTGGTGGATTTGAACTGCCAACCTTTTGGTTAGCACCACCCTCTTAAACACTGTGCCACCAGGGCTCCCTCCCAATCAGTATTACCCAAACAATAACAAAAACATAGTAACTATCATAGCTCAAACACGTATATATACATAGGCTCAGCGTTTATAGCTAACTGAATCTGTGAGACATTGAAACCTGTGAGAGCCGGAACTCGACAGGACCGCCTTGCTTTTCTGGGTCTCACAAGTTTTCCGCCTTTGAGAGGGTACAGTCCTACCATTTTTCTATCACTCTCTATTAGTGGAAAATATCTGAGTTTTCCTTCTTTAGCAGGTTTCCGCCTACACCGTTTCCGGGTTTCACAGGTTTTACTGTATATTCTGCAGAAGAAGAAACCAAGACATCATGAGAAGTTAACTAAACTGCCCAAGGTCAAATAGCTAGGAAGTGACACTACTGGAATTTGAACCTAGGTTTATTTAAATCTAAAACCTATATCTTATTTATCTCACACTCCGTACCTGAAAATAACACTGAACCTGCTAAATAAAAGGGAAATTATCTGGTTCTTCGTTCTCCTAAGGAGAAAATGATCTTGCATCATTTGCATTACAAAGGCAATAAAAACATTTGAAAAATTTCTTACTGTACAATAAGTTGTGCAGCAGTGCCTGCCACAAAGATGAAATCATTTCATTTCAATGTCACAGAAGAGCAGTAGGATTGTCTCCATTTCTTTCTGAAGATCTGCTGTGTTTGATGGCATAGCCAAGTCTTTCCATTGGAAACTTTCAGTGTGTGCATTCTTGCTCTTCCATGACTCTCTCAGGCTAGCCGGAGATTGTTGTTGTTAGTTGCTCTGGAGTCAATTCTGACTCATGGCAACCCCTGCTCCCTGTCCCTGTGTGCAGAGTGGAACTGCTTCATAGGGTTTTCAAGGCTGTGACCTTTCAGAAGTAGATCGTGAGGCCTCTGGGTGGGTTTGGAGTCAATTCTGACTCATGGAAACCCCTGCTCCCTGCCCCTGTGTGCAGAGTGGAACTGCTTCATAGGGTTTTCAAGGCTGTGACCTTTCAGAAGTAGATCGTCAGGCCTCTGGGTGGGTTTGAACCACCAGCCTTTCAGTTAGTAGTCAAGCACTTAACCATTTGCACCACTCTGGGATTCCTTAGCCAGACATATTTCAGCAAATTTCCCCATGACTGATTTGCCACATAGTGTGCTGATATGAGTCTAGTTGCCTAATGCAGGCAGTTGAAGGAAGGAAGGAAAGAAAAAAGGAATCAAAAAGTCTGGTCAACCACTGCTTTTCCTATAATTACCCCAAACAACAAACTCTCTATGCAGACCTACAGGAGGGTTCCCCTAACCTTTTTGAAAGAAGGGCTTTATTTTCATTCTTACAAAGTCTTGAAATGGCCAAGAGTAGGGGAAGTCAACTATAAAACACCTCTGTGGTGCTGGGGGAGGGGAGATCTCTGCTGGCTAAGCTTTATCTCCTAACTGAAAAGGAATATATCCAGTGTGGCCTAAAAACTCTTACATATTTAGTTTCGTTAAGTGTCTTGAATGCCCGTTCTAGGGAAGGACACATGGTGACTTTAAAAGAGGCCTAGTTCAGAGGAAGGGAAGGAAGAAACGAACACTTAGTGAGCATTTACTAGTTTCACATACAGGATGGCATTTAATCCTTCAAAGAGCCCTGCAGTTTTGAGCAAAATGATGCTCAGAGACTTCAGTAATTTTCCGGAAGTCATTTCTCTAGTAAGTAGAAATACCAGAATTTGAACCCAGGACTTTCATGACCAGGATTTTGAGACAGAGAGAGAGAATAGGTCTCTTACAAAACTAGAGTTCAATAGAACTAATATATGTAAATGCATTCCATAAATTTAAGCTATAACCTCCTGGAGCTAAGGTCAAGGGTTGAGAGAAGCCTTCTAATTGGATAAAAATCATACTTAGAAGATAAGACACATGTGGGAAAACAATAGTTTCAACAAAGTAAAATGGAGTCAACTTTGGCTTAGAATGGACTTAATGGTTTTCAGATTGTGTTTATAGAACCTTAATGGTGTTACAGAAGTGCCTCAAGAGCCACTGGAGTGGCTAAGAGGAGAGACCAAGAAAAGAACCTTGACCTGAACCCTAAGTAGAAAACCTTCTGTTTTATCTATGTTTTACATTGGAGTTCTGTGGACGATATTATTTTTCAAAAAACAAAACAAACAAACAACAACAAAGTTGCCGTCGAGTTGATCTGACTCATGTTGATCCTATGTGTGTTAGAGTAGAATTGTAGTCCATAGGGTTTTTAATGGCTGATTTTTCAGAAGTAGATCACCAGGCCTTTCTTCCGAGGCACCTCTGAGTAGACTCAAACCACCAATCTTTCAGTCAGCAGCCAAGCTTGTTAACCATTTGCACCACCCAGGGTGTCTATCTGTCAAAAGCCTTGCTTTTTAATAATAATAATTTTTTTAAAAAAGGTTGGAAGTGATTGTTAGACCATCAGCAAGTCCACAAAGGAGAACAGTAGATAAAATCAAATGACTCTGCTGGGTGAAAAAAGGATTGAAACCAAACATAAATTATAATCTACTTGTTCCAAATTAATTTTCATTTGATTTTTGGTGAAGACGTTTTAACTCATCTTTACTTTAGTTCTTCTTCAGCTACCTCCAGAGATGAGTTCGTTTTCTCTCTAGTAATTATTTTTAAAGTTTGGCAGTCATCTACTCTCAAGTGTGTCTCTTCTGTTATTGTAATTGACACATTTCTCCAGTCTAATACAACCAAGGCCACCAAACGGCTGTTACTGAGATGTGGTCGGAAGAATATCTACAGAAAAACAATGCTCTGGCAATGTATGGAGCGACCAGAACATCATTGCCTTCCAAATTGACTGCTCTAATTTTTCCATTTGGATAGATATTTGGAGCCCTAGTAGCACAGTAGTTAAGAGCTACAGCTGCTAACCAAAAGGTTGCAGTTGAAATCCACCAGCTGCTCCTTGGAAACCCTATGGGGCAGTTCTACTCTGTCCTATTGGGTTGCTATGAGTCCAAATAAACTTGACAGCAACAGGTTTTTTTTTATAGAGATATGACGTATTGTATATGCTAAAAGAATTATTTATGTGCAGCATGATCTACCAGAAAGAGCCCTGGTCTTGGGTTCTTATCTTGGTACTCCTCTATCTAGATCAGATCACATTAACTCTGAATTTTCTTTCCCTCATTTGAAAAAATAAAATAGGAGGAGAGAGGGTAGAAGGAAAGAATAAGGATACTTACCCTATCTATCCCATAATGTGGCTGAGAGGATCAAATAAAGCCATAGATGAGAAATGTTTTGACTATATAAATATGAGTATTTGTGTGTCTAGAACTAAAGATCCCCTCAGAAAGTTACCAAAAGAGACTTTGGTAGGCTGCTAGCATCCAGTTTCTTGAAGGCAATATAAAGAATTATGTAGCTCCTTCCAGGGCTGGAAACCCTGCCCCACATCAAGTGCACAATGGGGCTTTCAGACAACCTTAAGCAAACAGACTGGGACTGATACACAGTGTTCCTGATTTCATTGGGGGAAATATAAACCAAAGGGAGTTACTTAACTCTATAATAGTTAGTTATTTCCTCTTCGGTGCTGTTAAGAGTGCCCTGAAGTAACAACATTCACAGAGGCTGAGAAGAGTAGTGTAGACAAATTAGATAAGACCCTTATTGCCCTATTGTCCAATTCCCTGAAAAGCAGAGGAAATAACTAAAATGGAGACAGACTACTGACCCAGTTTTTTCTTAATATTCAAAGTCCAAGTTAAAATCTGCTCCTTTTAGGCTCACTGGCTACTATGGTGACTTAGAAAGGCCAGAGAGAAGTTATGTGACATATGCACACACACACACACACACACACACACACACACAAGAAGTACACCATGATCTATCATTGTTTCGTCTTTTTTGAAAACTCTTACTTGATGTACTACTGCATTAATGCTCTCATCTTTGAGTTACTTATTTGTTAACTCTAAATTTTCAATAAATGTTAAACATACCCTTTAAAACTCAAGAAATGAGTTTCTATAAGTCTGATACTCAAACAACCAACACCCAGAGAAGCAAATGACTCTGCCTGAGAGAGCAAGAAAGTTCCAGAACAGAATCCTGAAGTTCTAACTTGACAGGCAGCATTTGATACTTGCACTCTCCATAAAAGAATGCCATTGACACATCCAAGCCACTGACAGGGGTTGTGGGCTCTTTTTATCTGGAAAGTGTCCTTGTTCTAACTCCTCTTCCACAAGCCCCACAGCCTTACACAGTCCCTTCAGTCATTTCTTGTCCTTTATCTCATATCTCTGATACACTTACCCAGGGATATTTTTTCCAGAAGGTAGAGATAGCTCTGAAAGAAGTCATTGCGAATGGCTTTGTGAAGGATAAAGGACATGCTGTGTCGACAGAGTTCATTGTCGGTCTTCTGCCAGCGGGATCTAAAGGCAAAATGTGCTCCCAGGTGGGCCATGGTGAAGGGGGATGATAATTATTCCTACACGGAAAGAAAGTTTGTCTGGCTGTTTCTTTGAATTAGCCTCTCTTCCTACTTGAACTTGTGACTGTCATTTTAAACCAGTTCCCTGTCAATCTATATCAGGACAGGCCGTCATGGGGTGTGAGGGGGAAGGGGAGCAGACACGGGAGGTCAGCCTCCTGGCTCATCCACTGTCTGATTGCTTGGGCAACACCACTTCAAGCCAGCAGATGCTAAGTAAAGATGAAAACAGGCTGAGTGAGCTCCTGCTTCATCCAGGAAAAAGCACGTCTGCCTGCCTGCCTGCCTCCTTTCGATGCCACTTCAAACAGGCAGGAGCACACCCTGCTAACACACTGAATAGTTGCTTTAATTTGATGCCTAAATTGGAGTAGCCTAATTTCCATTTCAGAGAGTTGTGAATATTTTGCAGGAGATCCTATTCCCTGATTTCCATCACTCCTCCCAGAACACTGAATCCTCAAGTTACAAGGACTCTTCAAAGTCATCTTAGCCACCCACACCCTTTCATCAGTGCAACTTCATCCAAATCATTTCATAGAGATGGATATGTGTTTCCCATTTTGAAGAATCTTCAAGAGAAGCAATTTTCTAAAAGTCTGTTTTGATGTTAAACGCCCTCTTTGTCAGTAAACTCTCCCACCTAGTTTGCTCTATACAACACTTAGTCATGTACAGCTGTTTCCTCCTCTCTGCATGTTGTGGATGTGATTTTCCTCAAGTGCAATTGGTTTCTGCACTAGATAGTTTCTGACTGCTCTTCCAGATCCACTCTCCACTCGTTCCATCCTACTCTGTGCTCCAGGCAGTCCTGGTGGCACAGTGGTTAAGAGCTCAGCAGCTAACCAAAATGTCAGCAGTTCGAATCCACCAGCCGCTCCTCGGAAACCCTATGAGGCAGTTCTATTCTGTCCTATAGGGTCACTATGAGTTGGAATCGAGTTGATGGCAGTGGGTTTTGGTTTGTGTGATCTGGCAGGTTGACTGGTATTGACTACCTCAGTGGACTCCTTTGCCTCTGGCTTCCAGCTGAATTCAGTCAATGGATAGTGTCAGTAGGAGACTGGAGAAGAGTGAAGTCAGAATATTTATTCCCTGGCACCTTCCCTTTGGAGATGCTATAGGCTGACTGCATCCCTTAACAGAAAGTGGTAGCTCCCATTAGGAGGTCTTCTCATACAAATATTCTCTCCTGGCTCTGTTAACTCCCTCTCCCCCTTACTGTTTCAGAACCTTCCAGTTGAACATCAAGTTGACTCTGACTCATGGTGGCCCCATGTGTGTCAGAGAAGAATTGTGCTCTACAGGATTTTCAATGGCTGATTTTTTTCAGTAAATTGCCAAGTCTTTCTTCCAATGTGACTCTGGGTGGGCTGGAACCTCCAAACTTTTGGTTAGCAGCTGAGCATATTAACCATTTGCACCACCCAGGGCCTCCGGCTTCAGACCTAGAGATAGTGATATACCAGGCTGCTATAAGCCTTGGAGTAATGCACTATTCCTTGTGATTTCCCAAAACTTGCTGTTGTGGATTGAATTGTGTCCCCCAAAAAAGATGTGTTGTAGTTACAGCACCTGTGTCTATGAACGTGTCCCTGTTTGAAAATACGTTTTTGTTATGTTAATGATGTCATACAACAGTAGGTTGGATCCTAAACCTAATCTCTTCTGAGTGGTGTCATATAAAAAGGGAAAACAGACACAGAGTCACATGAGGGCAGACACCATATAACAACGGAGGCAGATGCATCTATAAGCAGCAAAAGAATGCCAAGATTTTCCAGCAACCACCAGAAACTGGGAGAGAAGCCCACAGAGGAAACCAACATGGCTGAGACCCTGATTTGGACTTTTAGCATCCAGAACTATGAGAAAATAAATTTCTACTCTTTAAAGCCACCCACTTTATCGTATTTTGTTATGGCAGCACTAGAAAACTAAGACATTTGCCCATATCTTTGTAAATAGTCCCTTTATTAAGCTGGTCTCAAGTCTGTAGTTCATGAATACCATCTGTTTCCTCAGGGACCATGACTACGGTTTTACCCTTCTAATGTTCCTCACAGGAAAATGAGTAAGAACTCAATACACTACCTGCTATACCATGTGCAACCACCATCCCCCCAACACACCCTTCCACACACACGCACATGCACAAACACACACATTATGGTAAAAAAAAAAATATCCAAGCCCATCACCATCGAGTCGATTCCGACTCATAGCAACCCTATAGGACAGAGTAGAACTGCCCCATAGGGTTTCCAAGGAGTGGCTAGTGGATTGAAACCACTGACCTTTTGGTTAGCATGGTAGGCAGCTTCTAATATGATGTCTAATATTCTCTGCCTCCTGCTTGGTATTCATGCCCTTGGTATTCATACTTTTGTGTAATTCTCTCTCCTTGAGTGTGGGGTGGACTTACTGAGTCACCACTGAAGAATAAGATGTGGCAGAAGTGATAAGATGTCACTTCCAAGAATAGGTTATAAAAAAACTGGCTTCCGTCTTGTGCATCTTCTTTCACTCTCTCGTTTGCTCGCTCTGTGGGAAGCCAACTGCCATGTTGTGAGCTGCCCTAAGGAGAGGCCTACACAGCAAGGAACTGAGGGAGGTCCTCAGCCAGTAGCCAGCTAAGAATTGATGTCCTTGGTCCAACAACGCACAAGGAACTCAATCCTGCCAACAACCACATGAGTGAGCTTGGAAGCAGATCTTCCCTAGCCAATAGATGGACTGCACCCTCTTGAGAGATGCTGAGCCAGCAAAGCCACACCCAGATTACTGATCCACAGGACATGTGAGAAAATAAATGTTTGCTCTTTGAAGCAGCTAAATTTTGGAGTAATTTTTTACAAGACAGCAATAGATAACTAACCCGTACTTCAACAGCAGAATTTTTTTAAGATGTGGAATTTAACCATGGCCTTTCTTTAAGTATCATTTGTGTGTTGCTGTTGTTGTTGTTAGGTGCCATCAAGTCAGTTCTGACTCATAGCAACCCTATGTACAACAGAACGAAACACTGCCCCATCCTGCGCCATCCTCAAGACTGTTGTGATGCTTGAGTCCATTGTTGCAGCCACTGTGTCAATCCATCTCTTTGAGGGCCTTCCTCTTTTTTGCTGATCCTCTACTTTACCAAGCATGATGTCCTTCTCCAGGGACTGATCCCTCCTGATAACATGTCCAAAGTACGTGAAAAAGACAAAGTCTCACCATCCTTGCTTCTAAGGAGCATTCTGTCTGTACTTCTTCCAAGACAGATTTGTTCATTCTTCTGGAAGTCCATGGTGTATTCAATATTCTTCACTGACACCACAATTCAAAGGCATCAATTCTTCTTCAGTATTCCTTATTCATCATCCAGCTTTCACATGCATGAGATGACTGAAAACACCAAGGCTTGGGTCAGGCGCACCTTTGTCTTCAAGGTGACATCTTTGCTTTCATTTGTGTGTTAGTTATGTTTAACTGGACTGTTGGGAAAGGAAGGATTCCATTTGCTTGACTCTGATTTGTTTTCCTTCAACTTCTTATATTTTTGTTGTCCCATTTTTTTTATCTCTGTGGTCATATTCGATTTTGTGAATATTTCTCATTCTGCTATAGCTTGAAGCAGTTTCTAGCTCATTGTGTTTGTTTCCTTATGCCAATAATTTTTCTCTCACACCTGAAATGCTCTATTTGCTACCACCTCACACCACTCTTGACCATATTCATACTGAGGTGACTGAGTAAAGGAAGTTTTAATAAAGATCTCAAGTCTACCACAGGCATCCAATTTCCAGGCAGAAAAGGAAAACAATGAGTGTAAGGGAAAGAAATATGACTGCATCAAGAGAAGGTGGAAACTCTGAATTTATCCAGGTGGGTCTGCCTTCTTACAGGGGATCCCTTGGTGAGGAATAAACTACTGTCAAAAAATAAATCAGCATGGAGAGTCAGAAGGAAGAAAAACCCCAAATAGAAGCATAATCATTTAGTAGCACAATAAAATAAATATTTGGTGAAATCTGCTCAATATAAAATACACAAGTTTTAGCTAACTCCAACACACATATTTTTAAATGCATTGGTAAGTGCATAATAAATTAATAGATAAACAATAAATTCAGATAAATTTCTAAGGGCCAACTAACAAATAAAACCAGGCAAATAAGAACCTGAAATCAGAGCAGATTCAAACCCAGAAGCCAGGACTGCACTAAAAGCAAATCCCTAGACCAGGAAGCTAGATATTTGGGGATTAACAGGCATCTTCTCAGGAATGGGAGACTAGACCTTGGCCCTGAACAACGTGGATGGAGGGAGCAAGCTGAACTTGACACCAACAGAAAATGGGGACTCCTGAAGGAGAGTGAGCCTGGGGAAGAAGGCTAGAAATTTGCCTGCCCACAGCAAAGGAATACAGAATGGAAACTCACTGGTCCCCATTGTAGCTTCAGATGGGAAAAAAAAAATGTAACAATGATATGAATAACCTCCTTAAGAATTCATACCACAAGCTTCCATCAGGCTGCCCTCAGATAAGTCTGATGTTTGAATTTTGAATTATCTATGCATCTAGAAACACCAGGTCAAGAATTAAAGTGGCTCCAGTTTGGTGGTGCAATTTGATTGCCCAGCAGAAGCAAATATAATTTTTGAGGGAAAGCATCCTCAATTCAGTGCCCTCAAAATGGCTACAGGTTTAGTCCAGCCAAATAGGAGCTCATAATAAAAAATTACCAAATATCGAAAAAAAATATGAAGGACTAATGCTCCTCTCTTTTCTGCACACTGTCCTTGAAGCTGCCCCATCCCAGCAAAAACTATTAAATTAAAATTCTGCAATACTTTATACTGAAATTCAACAGAGGCCAAAAGATATTTTCAGACAAAGATAAAAAGAATTTACCACTCACAGATTCTCACTAGAAGAATGACTATAAAAATCTACTTCAGGAAGAAGGAACTTAAAATAGTGTGTTATTGGCACAGGCTTAGTTAAAAACATCAATAAAACAAAATAGAAAGCTCCAAAACAAATCT